AACAGAAAAGCCCCAGGCGCGCGCCGGGGAGCAGCAGAGAGACGCAGAACTCCCTCTCCGTCGCCACCTAGCGGCTGCCTGGAGCATCGCAGCGCCAGCCAGGTCATCCCGGGGCGGGGTAATGGGAGTTGTAGTCCCGGCGACCCTCGGGGGCACCAGTGTGAAGGGCGAGCCTGCCTTAGAGGCCCTTCCGAAACACCCACCCCCGACACAGGCCAGCGCCGCCTTGAAGGCGCAGCTCTCCATGGCGCGCTCGACCATCTTCTGCTCAGGGCTCTGGACGGGCGCGGGAAACCCCCCCAGGGCTCCCGGGGGGAATTCCGGCCTCGGCCCGCGCTCGTCGCCCACCCGGTACGCCAGGAGAAGGCTGTACTGCAGCGGCGAGGCCGCCTCCGGAGCCCGCCCGGCTTCATCAGGCTTCCTCGGGCCTGCGGGGAAGGCCGCCGCCATGACGGTTCTCTCCTCACCACTCGAAGCCTACAACTCCCGTCATGCCGCCCGCCGCTCGCCCCGGTTTTCCCAGTGGCACTCCTGCCGCGGAGCTTCATGGGAAAGCTAGTATAATGACCGAGAGGGAAATCCATTCGTTTGGATTAGATTGCGCGAGCGTCCCTCTTAACCAATCCAGCTGCTTGCTTTCAGATGGACTACAATTCCCGGCGTACCCTCAAAGGCTCGTGGTCAAAATGCACGCTCACGGACAGATGGGACTTGTAGTTTTGGAGTGGCTCGGGAGTCTTTGACCTGCGCGAGGTGGCCCCCTGCCGGAGCCGTTGCAAAGGAGAGAATTTCAGAAGGACTGAGCATCTTTGAGAGGACAGGTGAGGAGGCTGCAGGTAAGAAGGGCTCTGTGCTGGACGGCGGAAGAGGCAGCTGGGGGGGGGGATTTCGCCCTGGGGACCCCTATGATGATTTTCCTCCATAATTGCGGTGGGTCGTGCCTCCTGCGAATATTCTTTCTATTTATAGCATTTGGGCATATATTTAGCATAAGTCATTTGGGTAAGTGGTTACGTGCTTGTGTATCATACATCACTATATGGCTCCGTGTTTTATTCTTATTTGTAGGGCACCTTCTGATTGTATGGCATTTTACAAAGAACAAGGATTTCCCAGACTAAAAGACTTATAAAAAAATAAGAAACCCCAACAGAGGACAGAACGGGGTGGAATAGCAGAGGGTCAAGGCCTAACAAAGCAAGATAGGAAAAATCTCCTTTGACTCCCGATGGCTACAGAGATACATTTATGCAGTTTTGGGGCAACACCTGTGGAGGTCTGTTGTCACTGCCTTTTGTAGGATGCTCCCAGTTTAGCGTACAGCCCTGGGATCTCCTGATAATCTCCCATCCAACTACTGACCAGATCCAATCCTGCTTTGCTTTTCAAGATTAACCAAGGTTGGCTAGGTGCTGCCACCTAGCTGGACATAGCAATCTTGGATTACTGTACTCTGATTACCCATATCTTAATAAACGATATCAGGTTAAAATATTCTTCCTGGGTTGCGATCTAATCTGTAATATGACAGTGTCTACATTCACCTAGTTACTGAATTTACTGAAACCGTAACCCTAACTAACCAAAGAGAGCCTGGGTACATATCCACCACTTCCCTTGTTTAAGCTAACCGTTGTATGACCACCAATGTGTAAAATTAATTGAAAGGTAGGAAGTTAATTTGGTCTATTTTGGTTGCTTAGAAATGTTGCTGTGTGGATTAGAGCAGGAATTTGGAAAATAGGGCTTTTATTTTTTTAAGACCTATAGTACTTAAACTATGCCATCTGCAGAGATTACTCCAAGACCATCATTAATAAGGTGTCCAAGCTTTTCTAGATCCTCTCTAAAAATGTTAAAATGTCAGCAGCTGTTCTCACACTTCCAGTTGCAAAGAAGTGTTAGAAAAGGAAATAGCAACAATGAAGGAAAAATGGGGTAGGAAGAAAAAGAAACTGACCCATGTTTTAGTTTACTACTTGTCCACCAATGTACGAAGCTGCAAGACTGTGTTCAGGTAGCCTTTTTCCAGCCAGGTATCTTGCAATTATATCAGATTCCAATCCTAATTCCTAGACCTCTGGCCAGACTGTCAGTGTTGCTGTGGCTAGTCCCAAAATAACCATTTAGCAGGAGGCAAACTGGTGAGGTTACTCCCTACCACCTCTTCCAGCCCCAGCAATATTCTCTTATGTTGCAACCACCCACCATTTTTACCGGAACTGAAGAATGCCTGTGACACTCCTGTAAATCCATCAGCCTGAGTTACACCCATGGGAACTTAAACTTGGAGAAGCAACGGCAAAACTAACAGTATACCGTCTTTTCCCAGTTGTTTCTACCTGTCCAGTCTGGTCTGGCAGGTTGGGCACGCTCCGGTTCCCATCAGCCAAGGAATGTCGGCTGGCGGGGACCAGGAGACGTACCTTTTCTGCTGTGGCCCCTGCCCTCTGGAACATCCTCCCTCCCGAGATTAGGGTGGCCCCAGCCCTTTTGGCTTTTTGGAAGGCCTTGAAGACCTGCCTTTATGCCCAGGTCTGGAGCCCCAAGTGTGTGAAGGGCCCCATTTCATGGTTGTGCTGACACCAACAGTTTTTAAAGATCTCTTGGCTGTACTTATATTTATATTTAATTTTCTGTACTGTTTTAAGTGTGGACTGTTTTTATTTTTGTTAGCCACCCAGAGTCACTGGTCTGAGATGGGCGGCTATATAACTTGAATGAATGAATGAATGAATGAATGAATGAATGAATGAATGAATGAATGAATGAATACTTACACAATAGAAGTTTAACTAAATGTAAGCAAGAATGGTTCCCATCCGCACAACACATCACGCAGCATGGTAAATATAACCACTTACAGTCTGGCTTTTAAGGGGGCCTGAATGTCCATAAATATTGCAAATTAGCAAATGTATAAAAAGGGGGAGTTGGAAACCAATGTTGTTTTTTTTGTTATTCTTTTCCTTTTTCTTTCTTTCTTTTTCTACCTTTTAGATATTTTAACTTTTGTTAAATTTGCTTCGTCTGTTTTTTTCCTTTTATCAACATATTACATATATATATATCTTATATATATGTAATATGTTG